CCACCCTTATTCTCAAGAGCCGGAGCCTTATTCTCAAGAGCCAGCCTCCTGCCTGGCTCTGCCTACAGATGGTTCAGGCACCTACCTGGTGCTGCCCAGATGCCCCTGTAACTCCGCGTGCCAACCTTACTCACTCCCGCTGCCCCCACCGCCGGCGGTGGTTAACAGAAGCCACACCGCAGGACTCACCTTCTCCCAAGGTAATGTACTTGACTCAGAATCTCCTGCAGGTCGATTCACGGAGAAACCCTAAGGTGAATCTTCTCCAGCGTCCCTAACGCAGAGTGGAATGAACAAGGATGGGGGAAGGGAAGAGAGGGAGAATGAACAAAGGCTGGAGGTGAACCCCAGGTGAAGCCAGGCCCAGGTCTCCTGTTTCACCTCCGAAGTGGACTTGAGTTGTGCACGGGGTAAAGTGCAGAATGGGCTTCCCTGCTGGCTCAGACGGTAAAGAATCTGCCTGCCATGTGGGAGACCCGGGTTCGATCCCGGAGTCGGGAAGATGCCCTGGAGGAGGGCATGGCAACCCACTCCAGTATTCTTGCCTGGAGAATTCCATGGAGAGAAGAGCCTGGTGGGCTACCATCCGTGGGGGTTGCAAAGAGTCGGACTAACAAGTCCACACTGAAGTGCAGAATACCCTTCCTGTGATGCATGTCCTAGAAGGCTGTCCTGTGGCTCCCCTGCCCGGGGTCACCTCTACACCTCCCTTGGGAGGAGGGGACCCGAGTGTTCGGCATGGGCCCCAGGGCTCCTCGGGCACCCCCTGCAGAGGGGGCAGGACGGGCCGTGGTCCAGGACAGCCGCGTCACCACCGGCTCGCCCAGCAGGACGGCCGCACGCTCGTCCCCTGCAGGCCCTCGTCCCGCCCACCTTCAGTGCCCTGACGCCACAGCTGTCGCCCCCAAGACCAGGACAGAAGCGGAACTCAAGCGACAAGAGAAATCTCGCAGCAGGTTTAAAACATTCCATTTTTAGGACATCTTAACACGTGATTTAAAGATTTGATAACGTGTTTTAAAAACATTAAAGCCCTCAGTGGAACTTACAAGCCATCCCGCTTCAGAACCCCTTCCTGCTGACACAGGTCACGCTGGACGTGAACGGAGGAGGTGGGTCAGGGCAGGGAGTTCCTGGTCTCATGCGTCCCTCTGGGCCGGGAGTGCTGGTTCTCTACCCTGTGGTTGGGCCTCTCTGGACCCAAGTCTGGGGAGTCCCAGTGAAAACTTGCCAAACCCTCTACCGCAAATTAAACCCTCTCCAGCGAACTGTATGCTGATGACAGTCTCAGTCATAAAAGATTCCAATCTGCAGCAGTTTGGCCCACTTTCTAAGATAATCCATACAGCCAGATCTCCATGTGAAATACGAACCATCCCTTGGCAGTCACTGCCACAAGCTGTGACTTCCGTTATCTGGCCAGGAAGGATGCTAAAACGTCACCCAACTTTTTCGTGGATCCTAAGGCTGTGATCTCGTGGATCTCAGTCTATCTGATGAGAGCACCTATTCCAGGGTGCACGTGGGCCATTCACAGCATAAGGGTCTCTGCTGCCCAGCCCCAGCACCTCGCCCCTCCTGGAAGCAGACACAAACTTCTGGACTCAAAAGCCCCCCGGTGCTGGCAGCTTCTCCCTGCAGAGTGAGCCTCAGGCTGATGGAGATAAAGTTTCCCCAGACCCAAGTTCCAAACTCGGCTGTTTTGTTTCTGTTAAAATGCAATTGTTTTTCTCTGGAGGGTGGCCGTGACTGCTCGCCCGTCAGGAAGATGTATGAAAACCTCCACTTCAATTCAGCATCCCTTTTCTCCCAGACAAACACGGTCGGATTTTAATAAATCAGAGAGCCACACTGTTTAATAAAAATTTATTGACTTACAAGTGATTATTTATCAAAAGACCATTAATAGCAGGTACTGGAATGATGTGGTACTGGGTGGTGCTGGGAGACTAATAGGAAATCGATGCGCCAGCCGGCCGGGATGCATACAAGGAGCCCTCCCCCTGGCTGGCGGGCGCAATTCCACCCGCAACACAGACCAGACGCTACCCCTGGTGCAATGAAAAGTTCCCCCTTTTTATTTATCGTTTACAAATGAAATGATCAATACTTTTAATCTAGAGCAAAATTTATTAACTTTCCCATCGGAGAGAGACGTATTGACTCAGGGGGAGAGGGGGTGAGCGCAGGGCAAGATGGATGGCAGGATGGTCGTCTCTGAGCCCGTTCACAGTCGGCATGCGGGCAGCTGCCCTCCCAGCCAGGGCATCCAGCCTCTCGGGACGAGGGCAGTCTGAGAAATCAGGTCTGGCTGCCTGGGACACACCCCAGGTGGATCTGGTTGTCAAGGACTTGTGGGGAGAAGCCATCTCACAGATCCTGACATTTTGGTCAACTCAGGAAGGAAACAGGGGTGTATGGACCCAGAGGCTTCCGCAGGACAGCAGGGTTGGTGCCCTGGGGAGATGCTGCTGAGAAGGGCTGAGTCAGGGTGATGCCCAAGGGCTCGTCGCTGCCTGGTCTGGGTACTCAGGGTTCTGTGGAGCTGTCCCCTGCCCCACCCCGCCACATCAGGCTGCAGGGCAGCAACCCAGAGTGGGGTCCAACCCAGTAAAGAATCAGGTCCCCAAGTTGGACATCATCCCAAACTGCTCACTGAGCCCTGGCCTGGAAAGACTTCTATATGAGGCTTCCCCCCATGGCAATTTTACCTGCCTTTTCACAAAGTTCCTTCTCCAAACAGCTGAGGAACGAGTCTCTCACATTTTAGTGAAAAAACTCTTTGTGAGATCCACAATCAAATCCAACCAGCCCCACGACCACCTGAAACCCTGGGACCCTCCTTGACACGTGGGACGCTCTCCGAAGGGGTTGAGTTTCGCTAGCCTGATGTTCTGCACAAACCAAATGGATCCAAACTCACTTATGACTGAACCTAGACGACTTCAGAGCTCAGAGCCAAAGTCTGAACCACGGATTTAAAAATTACATTTTAGACGTGGGAAGGGCCTTAGAGGTCATCCAACCCAAGTCCCTAGCTCTGGGTCAGAACACAGAGAAATAAGGCCCAAACGGCAAACCGGCAGCAGGTCCACAGGGGTGATTAGGAGCTGGCCAGCGCTAATCCCACCGATAGGACCACTCGGTTTCACTCCAAGACGGGCCTCCTGGCTGCCGGGGTCCCAGGAGTGGGTGCATTTTGTACATTACGTCGCTCTATGTGGTTCTTTTGTCATTCCGAAGTGTCAAGACATTTTGTCTGACTTCCCACACGGCTGACTCAGTTACCCCAAATCAATTACAAATAACTAATGACTATCTGGGGGGTGGTAGGGTCCCCAGTTTAAAAGGATGGAGCAGTATGATGAGTCTGTATGCTTGTAACAAGCACTGAATAGAACTTTTAGAGATTTCTTTTTAAAGGGATTAATTCCCATCCCTTCTCAGTTGGTAAAAGTAAAAATAATCACTAGTCTCAAGTATTTCTTTACATAACAGCTATTCCAGATCAGGTTCTTACAATACTCTGCTGCGTCATCAGGAACAAACTAATGTGCTGAAAAAAAACATGAGAAGACGAAAACCAACGTGATTGAAAGTACCCACGAAAATCATGAAGCAAACGTACTCAACGGCAGGAAGCTTTTCCAAGAGGGAACTTGATTTTTACAAAGACCATTCCAGTGAGCTTTTAAACCACCAAACAGTACTGCCTATAAAAGTCTAAACAATCAGTTTATCCTTGCACGTTCTGTAAAACAGTTCATAAGAGGGCGCTCTTACTGTCCTAACAGTGTTTTGGTTTGAGAATAGAGTAGAAAGAGAATTCCTCGCTGGCGGGCGGGGGATGTGTGGGAGGAGATGGGAGACTGTTCGGGGGGAAGGGGGCGGCTAGGCTGGGAGTCAGACTGAGGTCCCAGGAGGTGCCGCTGTCGGTCAGGAGTCCCCGAGCCGGGCTCCATGGCCACCACCTGCCCGCGTCGACTCCAGAGGACGGCTCGGCCAGTGACACGTCCCACAGCCGCTGCAAGACGCCCAAGCATGAGGGCTGCTGTGCCAGTGCAGGGGGGGGACGGATGCACGGACAGACGGATGAGTTAGGGGGGAGACGCAGCTCTCTCCTGAGAGCTCTGCATCCAGTCAAGCCTGGAGGTGGACACCGGGAAGGGGCCTGGCTTTGGACCTGCCTTCCAGTGAGCACAGGTGGGCAAGGGAGACCAACAGCTTCCTTCTGGCTGCAAGAAGCCCGCGGGGCACCATATGCCTGCCCGCCCCAGCTCCCGCCTGGCCCCCAGGTCTCCGCATGGATCCCCCCACCCGTACTTCCAGATCATCTCCTACTTACCCCCCAATGTCACCCATTTTCAACCCCGCGGCACCCACATGGGGGGAAACACCATCTCAACAGTGCTGGGGATTCCAAGTCACCCAGAGATGTGTGGACATCTGAGAGGGGGCTTCACCTTCTTCCCAACGCCACAAGCTCCCATTCTGGAAGCCAAGCCCCCGTGTAGGTTAACTCAGGGCATCGTAACGCTGGTAAGAAACCCGCTGCTCAGGGTCACAGCTGGGGGAGAGAGCGTGAAGGGAGAAACCCCACGATTCAGTCACCGTCAAAGACAACTTTATTGACTCACAGGAACAGAGACCAAGCCCCCGCTGGCTCTGGCTCTCCCTCTCCCGCCCGCCCGCCCCCCCGGTCCCGCACCACCACACTGGGCTGCCCGCCCTTCCCTCACAACAACCCGGGGAGGCAGGCGTCCCCGCCCCCCAGACTGGGGGCAGACGCGCATGGCGCGGCGGCTGAGCGGGGGGACCAAGCCGCGGCCACGCCGGCCCCGCGGGGAGAACGGCAGTCCCCGGGGCCTGCAGTCACAGTCTCTCCCAGGAGTCTGGCCCCGAGGCCGGGCCCTCCTGGGGCAGTGCTGGCCGGCCAGGTCCCCTGCACACGGGCCTCAGGCAGACAGTGCCGCAGGCCCCGAGGGGACGTGGGCTTCCGCCCAGCACTCAGGCCGCTCTGGCTCGGTGGGGAGGGACATCAGTGGCCTTGCTCCGGCGGACTCGGCGGGCAGGGGCCCGGGGCGGCTGGGTGGCGGGCTCAGGAGCGGCTGCGGTCCTCCTGGGTGCCGACGATCATCTTGCTGTACAGCTTCTGCTGCTCCTCCTTGAACGTGGCTTTCACCTTCTCCCGCTTCAGGCCGCCGTCCCTGGTGAGAGCGCGGCAGGGCTGGGCGCCGAGCAATGGCCCACACCCGCCCCGCCCCGGCCGGCTGTGCGCCCCCCACACCCAGGGTGCGGGCGTCTGCGTGGACGGAGTCGACCCGGCAGCACCCGCCTCAGAAACCCCATCCCCAGAATCGGCGGGTCCCCGACTCACCACAGCAGGTCCACCAGGCCGCCCTGCCTGGCGATGGCGGACTTCACCCTGTTGGCAAACTGGACCGCGTCCTCCTCCGCCTGCAAGAGAGGACGCGTGCAGCCCCCGAGCCGGGCGCAGGGCACAGAGCGCGGGGGGCCCCAGGCGCGGGCTGGGCACCCACCTGTCTGGTCATCGGGGGCAGGTACCACACGCTGCAGACAATGGCCCAGCTGGTCATCATCCTGAGCAGGTAGGTCACCATCCCGTACTTGCTGCTGTTCCAGAAGGCGTCCCCAAACTGCGGGTCGTACTGCGGGGCGACAGGGCAGGGGGTAGGTGTGTGCGCACACGCGTGCAAAAATGTGTCAACAGTGTGTGTGCGTCAACAGTGTCAACACGGCTCTACACGTGTGCATGTGTGTTTGTGTGGATCAGCTGTGTGTGTGTCTGCGTGTGTGAGCAGCAACCTTTCCGAACACCGCCCCGCACCTGGGGGCAAGGTCAGCATGAGGACATGGCTCTCCGCCCCACAACCCGAACACTCCCCAGGAAGTGCACCCGGGGCACCGCTGGCCTCCAGCGGCGTCTGCCTCCTCGGCAGAGCAGGGAAGAGCCCTCCCCCGCCACGTCCCGTCTCCCCCACGGGCATCCGGCATCTACTCTTTCTGTCCTCAAGACGACCCCGCACAGAGGATGGGACCGCGGCTCCACAGACCCAGCCCCAAGCCAACAACCACCGGAGTCCCCACACTCCTGCAACCCACTCCCAGCACGTCACACACTCACAAGCACTTCGACACGCAGCTCCCCAGAGAGAGAGAGACCTCCTTACACGACGGCCAGCCTTCAAAGCCCACCTCTGGGGCCCAGACCCGGGAGCAGATGACGAGGGAGCTCTGCTTCTGTCCTACCCTTCACGGGGCTCGCGGACCGTGAGAAGCCGCAGAGGCCGTGCGGGCACAGAGACCTTTCCCGGGGGAGTGCCCGTTGGATGCTGTCCCCTGCCCTCCCCTCTGGTGGAGGCCCTGCCAAGGGACACGTCGTGGGTGACGCGGCCACTGCTGTGCCCCACCTTCTCCCAAACACGAGCGCGGCGGGGCAGGGAGGTGACACAAGAGGCAGCAAGCGGGGCCACGTCCTCCAGAAGGCCTGAGAAGGGTCAGGGCTGAGCCGCCATGGGGTCTGGGGCTTTCCCAGACATGATGCTAGACGGAGAGTGACTGCAGCGCAAGCACCCAGGACCCGAGCGGAAAACCAGAGATGACCCCAGACTCGGTGGCCCCCCCCCGCCTCCCAAGTCAGTGGGAAGGGACACCGGCTGAGACGCCCGAGCGCAGCCTCTTACGCTTCGGGGGGGCTGGGTTTGAACTGCATGCTTTTCTTCCAGGACTTTCAAGCCTGAATTCTATGACTCTCAGAGTAAAAGTTAGAGACCTGTGCCTCACTGCAAGCCCAACTACAGCACTGAAGGCACTCAGGCTTACTTACAGAAACTAGAAACTTCAGATGGAGCCCTGAAGGCGGACTGGGCTCACGCTACACCACCACCAGTAAGCGAGGGAGAATGGACCTCAGATCGCAGCTCGTGTGGGACGGGAGCAAACACTGCCACAGCTCACGCAGCAGGGCCGGAGAGAAACCTGACCTCACGTGAGAGCCCTCTGCTGAGGCCTGAGCCTCTGCTCCACACTGGGCAGGCACCACGGAGAGAGAAGCAAGGCCAACACTCAGATCAGCAATACATTCCTCCAGATCAGATAACAGCTTACTTTTGGTGGAAATGCAGTGAGAGCTTGGAAACCGCTGAGGTTATGCAAGTTTGGTTACCAAGGACAGCTTCACAAAAACTAGAAAACTACTTGGGAGGCAAAAGTTCTTAACCATATGTGGGCTTTCCTCAGCCTTGGATGGAAGGAAAATGGCCATGCCCATGTTCCAGAGAGGTTGTAGCTGTCCAAGGGTCCACGCTCTGAAAATGCCAAGAGCAGCTTCCTACTGAGATTCCCGGGCAGCAACACCAGCAGCACCCTGGATGGGGTCAAAATGCAAGTTCTGAAACTCTGGGTGTGGGGCTCAGCAAAGGGCATGCTCACAGCCCCACCAGCTGATGTGAAGACCCAACGCCGGAGCTTCCAGGCACCGTGGGTAAGAATCACCTGCCAACGCAGGGGAGGGCTCCACTTCTCTGGTCCGGGAGGATCCCACGTGCCACAGGGCAACTAAGCCTGGGAGCCTCCACCACTGCGCCCTTGTGCCTAGAGCCTGTGCTCGCAGTAAGAGGCCGCTGCAGTGAGAGAAGCCTGCTCACTGCACGCAGAGGAGCCCCCGCTTACCACAACCAGAGAAAGCCTGCGCACAGAGCAACCAGAAACACACACTCAACACTGGAGCGAGGAAGGGGGGCTTCTGTGCAGCAGCTGGTTTTAATAGACACCCAGGGGGAGGCCCTGAGCCCCAGGATGCTACACTGTGGGACGACATGCGTGCCACACCATCGCTCCCCACTCTCACACCACGGCAGACCCTGTGGACAGAGCCTCCCCTGTTCCTCCAGACCAGCATCCTCAACAACTCCCCAGCAGCCCTGGTCCAGGAACCAGCTAGTTACCCTGCAGCCGCTCGTCCCCCGCCAGCCCTGTCCTGTTGCCTCCCTGAGAAAGCGCCATGGCCTGGGAGCCTGCACTTCTCCCAGGGGAATGCCGCCTCCCCAGCTGCCGCCAGTGAAAACAAGAACCATTCCTACAGAAGCCTCTGATGACAACCGAGGCACGCGAAATTCTAACCATCACTCTGACTCAAGCTTACCCTTGCCCTGATTTGTCAACCTAAATACTTTAAAAGTAGTGACAAAGGCTGTGTATTTTTAGAGATAGTAATGTGAGTAACAGCATTCTTTTAGCAATAATAACGTGCATCTATTTATAAGAGCAGATGAATACGAAGGGAGAGAGAGGAAGGAGGAAAGAGGGAAGCCGGCAAAGTGTGCCCCGTCTTTCTAAGCGAGTCTGAACAGCTCCTGCAAGTGGGGCAGACAGGACAGCTGCTAAGGCCGCTCTGTTTCCCTGAGCGGCCACGTGAGCCAAAGCAGAGGCGCCGTTTCCTTCTCCAGTGACAAGGACACACGTCCCGTGCCCGCCCACCCGCACCTCCAAGCAAACGCACAGATGCCCCGGGCGCCCCTGCCCCACAGGAGGCCCCCTCAGGTGGAGTGCCTTCCGCGCTGCTGGGTTTATGAACAGAGAGGAACACGTGGGGAGACCTGTGAGCAGACTGGAGCCGCCCGCCCTCCGCGGCAGCCGCGGCGATGACCACTGGCCCTCGGAGGGCTCCTACCTTGATAGCAACGGGGTAAACTGTGGCTCCAATTTCAAAACTTCCCTTTTTGAACATCATCACTGATGTGTTATTGATGCAGGTTCCTAAAATGCAAAAGAGGGTAAAATGTTTTCCTTTCAGTCCTTTACCCCAGAGATTAGTAATAGCTTATGGATTAAATATAATAAAGTCCTTCTGACAGCTCTTCTGAGAGGATAAGCCCGTCTTCTGCCCAGCTCGGGAAGGCATGCTGGAAAGAGGTGAGCAGATCCCTGCAGTGCCTCCTCTTCTCTTCTTACAGGACCATGGAGCCCAGAGGGGAGGCAAGAGCCCCCGCCGAGTCGGGAAGGACCGTACCACAAGCTCAGGCAGCCTGTGGGCAAAGACGCAGGAGGCGCTCCCGCACTGGGGAGGCCACGCAACAGCACTCACAGTCCACACTAAGTCCCCTGGGCTTCCAGCTCTAGAACTAGCCTAAAGGGCCCCCATCTGAGGCAGGGAAGACGGGTTCCTCCAGCGCAACCCTGGATTCCCCTGCCTGCACGGCCTCCCCACACAGCAGCTTACCCTCTGGAAAGATGAGGATGGGCAACTTGCTTTTATCCTGCACATGCTCGGTCAGCCTGCAGAAGAGAGAAGTGGAAGGGAGGGTCAGACAGCCTCACGTCCATCACCATCCATGCATCTGTCAATACTCTGTCTAGATGTGACGCTGGGTGGGTGTGGTAAGAAGGCAGGCTAATGAATACAACTCTTTTATAAACCCACGATCTAACAGACAATAGGCCTCAGGACAGGGAACCTGGGTTGATTACTATTTAAACGAACAGCTGTTGAGTGAAGCGCGTGAGTCTGAGTGTAGAGGCTGCGGCTCTGATCTGGGACTGCCTAACGGGCTCACCCACCACAGAGCAGCCTCGAGAAATGCTTGCGATGACTTCCTAGGGCCGTGCTGGGTGGGCCTGCAGCCCCGAGACGCAGTGCAGGGAACTCAGGGCAGCCCACTGGCTCTGGCGAGCGGTCTCAGGAGCATCGACTCCTCTCAAGTTATGGCAACGCTCTCACCATCACCTGTGCCACGTCTGCCTTTTATTTTCCTTAAAACTGAGCTGCGCTTTATTCTATTGCTCTAAGTGTGCTTTCACGTGTGACAGTGAACTCATTTTGAGATTTGAAATCATGTTAAAAGTTCATAGGTTGTTCATGACAATGGGTTCAAGGAATTAAATTTAAAAAGGTTAAAAACACTACTAACTTGTTAAGACTAGAGTTTTCACACTCTCTATATTCCACACTTCAGCTAAGGAAGCGGCTGGGCTCAGGGGAGAAGGCTGGAGGCACAACTTCCCCTAAAATCAGACTCTGGGTGTCGCTCGGTTACCTTCTGGCCACCAGGTGGCGGTCCTTCACCTCGGAGCGCTCGAACCAGACGTGGGGGCAGGCCTTGACCATGGCTCTCTGGATGACCCCCATGAGGCCGCCATGCACCTGTCCCACCTGCTCGCAGAGGAAGGGCAAGGGGAGCAGGCCCATCCTCATACAAAGTCCCCGGTTCCCAACCTCCAGACCCCTACGCTTTGCTGGTAACCAGAGGTTCCTCATTGTTCAGAAACCACTGTTTAGTTAGATTCTCTGAATTTAAATTCTCCTTCTAATCTGTGATACCAGAGATGTGCTACTAAAAACCCTAAAAAGAACCGTGAAGCAGAACCCCCCATGTCCAAATGCCCTCCTTCCCTGGGCAGATTCTCCAAGGCCTCTGCACCCTGCCCCTTCAAATCGCCCTCTCTGGGGGCTTAGGGGAGGATGGATACATGTATACCTATGGCTGAGTCCCTTCACCGTTCACCTGAAAGAACCGCAACACTGTTCATCAACTACACCCCAACACAAAATAAAAAGTTTAAAGTCTGGGGAAAAAAAAGAAAACCCCCTCCCCACCTTCAGCCCCCTCTCCGCTGCCCACCGACACTTTCCCCATATGCTCAGCCACTCCACTCACAGCACCCAGGTCCCAAGGAGCCCCTGGGGCCACGGAAACCAAGGCGATAGCCTAGGCTGGGGCCCGAGTCTGAAAGCACGCTCACCCCCCAGAGAAAAGCTCCCAGCCCTGACCAGCTAGAGGAATCTGAGGGAAGCCTTACCATGGCGTAATAGCCATCGCTGGCCAGGATGATGACGTCAATGGGAGACGTGTGGTTGGCCACGCAGATGCCCCCGTTTCTAGGCCGGTTCTTCCTGCTCACAAGGTACCAGGAGCAATGGAAACCGGCATGAGACAATGCATCTGCAATGCGCATCTGGCAGCGGCTATAGCCCCCCAAGTCCTGGCAGCCCAGCCCTCAAAGCACCCCAAGCCCCCGCGGACCCTCACCTGTCGTGGTAGGTGATGATGGCCGTCAGCGCACGCACGCAGATCCGGTAGCACATGAGGTGAACGTGCTTGCTCAGGAACTCCTTGAACCTGCGACAACAGGACAGAGATCTCTGCTTTTACCATACACGCATACAGGGAGTCAGCAAAGGGTGCCAGGTCTAACCATCTAACCATCACTGCCTACGCCCTTCACAACTGTATATAAATGTATTTTTATACTTATTAGTGTCTACGGTAAGCATTAGCATCTTTCTGTCTACAGACAAAGGAAGAAATGATGAGGATGGCTCAATTCACCGCGGGTGATGGACTCAGAATTAGCCCGAGAATTTCCAGCAAAGGTGAGTCCCCTACATTCCCTGCCAGTGACGGACAGAGGCAGGCGGAGCCATATAGTCAAACCTCCCCACCAACTGGGGCAGAAGAGAGAGGTTTGTCAGCCCCAGAACTTCCCGGAAGGAGCCCATTTCTTTAAAAAAAGAAAAAAAAGGAAAAAGCAAACAAAAAGGACCTACCTACTTATACTTCTTACCCTTTCAACAGTTCATCAACACAGTAGAATGCTCAAAACCCAACTACTTGCTTTGTAAAGCCTGCTAGCCCTGGACACTACCATTTTGTGGTTTCTCTGTTTTGTCTTTAAAAATGGAAGAATACAGGGCTGGAGAGCAAAAAGAACAGTCACAGATAAGATCAGTGAGGGGGAAAAAGCTTTGCTGCCTCGTCAGTTACCATGGAGTTACTGACTCCATCTAAGAGCCTGTGGTTTGGGCCAAACCTCCTGCTCCCTGCGGTACCCACAGAGTCCGAGGCCCACGCTCCGCTCACCTCCCATTTGGCAGGTACCCCACCATCGTTGTGCCCACCACCAGGAGGCTGATCCCCGTGAAGGCGAGAGCTACCCTGTAACGAAAAGACAGGTTACTACACAGCAGACAAATCCCTGCCCCGAGTGTAGGCCTGAATGTGTGAAAAAGGCAGATGTGCTCGCTGGCCCCAGAGGACTCCCAGCGAGATCAGAACCGGGGTTGCTTGCTGCCCCGGGCCAGGGCACCATGGACTTGGCTCTCAGCCGACAGACACCCTCTCCTCAGGCAGCGGGCAGCGGCCAGAAGCACAGCACAGCCGATGGCCGGCCGTGCTGCCCTCAGGCACCTGCTGTCCTGCGGCCTCACCCTTCCCCTTGGCTTTAAGCCCTGGCAGAAGCACAGCTTCTCCGTGAAGCAGCAGGAAGTAGGGTCTGAAGGTGCCAGCAGCCGGCAAGGCCTACTCAGAACAGCACGTGGCGCAGAGACCCGGGAGATCAATACCGCCTCTGTCCTGGAGAGGAAGCTGCAGGAAAGAACCAGCCAGGCCTGGGGAGGTGGGCCATGAAGAACACCGTGCTCCTGTCCCTGGGCTTAGTCCGTCCAGACAAGCGATCGGTCTTTGAGAAATTCAACTGTTTTTTTATTTCTGTCTGCTATGCAGACAACCCAGGGCCCTTTTAAAGGATAACCCCGGGCACTCTTCTGAGGGCCAAAGGGCCTGGCCGGTGGGAGGACCCTACCATCCTCCTCTGAAGTGGGAGCACGGGGAAGGGGCTCGGCCTCACCTGAGCGGCAGCAGGAAGCAGTAGCGGATGAGCACGCCCAAGCCCCACAGCACAGTGAGCCGCAGGCTGATGTACTGGAAGTTGTAATTGGTCCTGCTCAGCAGGTTCCAGGACTCCAGCTCCTCTGCCGAGAACCTCTTGGTCACCTCATCGTCCATGATGGTCTCCATTCCTTTCCGGCAGAAGTAGAAAATGTCCGAGAGCTCAAACTCGGGAGTGTTGTCCAGGGCCTTACTGCTCCCGCTCCGGCGGATTTCTTTGATCTCTTCCTCCAGTGATGTGGGGTCTTTTGCAATGATTCCTGCAAGAGAACAGTGCCGTCAGGTGGTCTGCTGGGAGAAGGGTGTCAGAAACGCTCAGGGCAGACCCCTGCCTGCCGCAGGGGGCAGGGGTGGGGCGGGCTCAGGGGGCGCCCGAGGCCCCGTCTTACCGTTGGTGTAGGGCTTGTAGAGCTGGTGGTTCTTCTCCTTGGCGCCTCGCTCCATCCTCAAGGTAGCCCACTGCAGGGGGAACAGCAACGCACAGGCTGAGCCCCTTCCCCTCTCGGGGGGCTCCTCCAGGTCTGGTCTGGGACAGCCTCAAGCCCAGTCACCCCCATCAGACGGCAGCTGGGAGCGTGGGCTCTGGGGAAGCTCGGAGCCCTCTCCTCTGGGCAGACCGTCCCTGACGACCTGGACTGAGCCTCGTCCCCGGCGGTCAAGAGCTGTGAACTGAGGAGCCAGGAGAGCTTGGGGCTTGCCATCCCCCGCCCCTCTCCCGCCTCCTGGGTCAAGAAGGAGCCGGCCGGCTGCCCGGCCACAGACCCCACTGGTTCCTTGTTTCTGCCAAACAACATCTCTTCGCCAACTGACAAGCCAAGTGTCCGGGAAGGTACTGCCTGCCTCCCAAACTATTCCAAGAGAACAACGATTTTAGCTTTTGAGTTGATAAAAGATTTAAATATTATGTATATGTGGACTGTCCATTCACCCTCTGAGTAATCTCAGAGGAAACGCCACAACTTGACACAAAAAGCTTGAAAGCAGCTTAGTGCTAATTTTAAACAAAAAGAAGTGTTAAAAAAAAACAAACTAGGTTCAAACCCCAAGTTCGAGAGTTCTGCTGTGTGCCTCCAGCAATTCATCCCATCATGCTGGTCTCCTTTATCCACACAAGTGGGTGATGGAGGCCAACCTCCCCTTCACGAGGACACGGGAGGCCATGTGTGACAGACTCGGGACCTGCAGAGCCCCCAGGGCCCTCATGACTGAAACAGCACAGACTGCAGGGAAGAGTCTCTTCCCAGAGCCTCTCGCCCTTCATCAGAACTCTCTGAAGTGCCGCACAAGAGCCCGGGGCTGGGCGGCCCCTGCCAGCAGGAGGGGACCAGACGGGACGGGACGGGATGGGCACGCGGCACAGAAAGCCAGGACCGTGGCGAGCAAGGACACAGAACCAGCATTTTAAAGGTTTCTTTTCAAACTTCTGTCTCCACAGTTATGCAAGGGAGAGAAGAAGCCTGTCCTTCCATGATGCAGCGGAATCCACAGGCCCAAAGCCTCTGTGAGACTGCTGGCGGAGTCTGAAGTATGAGCAGGGCAGCGGAGCGAGCAGCAGGACGTGCGCCTCATCAGCGATCTGGCCGCGTGCGGAAACCTCTCAGACATCATGGTCCACAGAAGACAGGCCGCTTAAAATCACCCACGGTAAGGTCTGAGGCGGAAAACTCACACAACCCGTCAGGTTCTTAGCCCCTGACAGCTTCTGGCACAGAGGACTTTTTTTCTAGAAGAAAATGTAAACATAACTGCTGCAGTGGAGGAAGACGAACCCCCATCTGGGAATGCCATCTAGGGAAGAGGTGATTAAGGGGCAAGCGAGTGTGCAGCAAGCCTGGTACAAAGACACAGTTCCATCGCTCAGAACTTCTCCATTCTGACACACGGATTCAACTGTAACAGGCAGGGAGCACATGCCCTCAGGCCACTGGAGCACCAAGACATAGATCTGTGAGCACCTACTCAGGATGGAAAGGTCCAGAAGGCTGTGGTTTCTGCTTTAACTGGGAAGATGCTGGTTCAATGTGGCTTCTGGCTCCATCGTAAACATCCCCCGTCCTCCTGCTTTGCACTTCTAGCTTTGCTTTCCCAAACTTCGGGGACATCACAAAACATGCCTGTGTTCAGGACCCAGGCAACAGAGCAGGGGTAGAGGGCGGGGCCGGGGCTGCCTGGGACCAGCTGCTTCGCCCGGCACAGGGGCTCAGGAGGGGGTGCTGGCATCAGCAACGTCTGAGAATGACACGCCTGCTTCTGAGCCCCCTTTTAAAAAGTATTGTGTGCAGATATCCAGAATAAAAGTGACAGCCCCAGGTCCAGGGCTCGTTTCCCCAAATTCTCCTCTTCCTTCCTTGACCCAAGATGCCACTTACGTCGTTGTTCAGGGTCAGATTACTTAATTATTCCGTTCTCACCTTCTCTTGCACAGAGACTGTTAGGGGCACAGACACGCTGCCCTGTAGGGAACACTAAACCCGAGACAACTCTCGGCAGGTGACACGCAGGCCCGACCCTTAGACGGTGGGCGGGGTAACGGGTGCATCTTTGCCGGTCAGTGGCTCTGCTGCATGGCAGCTCAGAAGCCCAGCTCCCAGGGAAGGCCGGAGAACCTCGGCAGCCTCGTCCCAGGGAGACCTCCCCTCTTCTCCAGCCGGCCTGCACCGCACCTTCCCCAACCGGACTGTGGATGCCCAAGAGTCAGCCCCCAGAGAAGCCGGGCCCCAGCACCCACCCTCTCCCGCCTCCCCGGCAGAGAGGCGTCTTGGGACAGCGCTCTCTTCCTTCCCTGCTCTGGCCAGAGTCACTCAGTGAGTGAAAAAGTGTCCAAGTCTTTGCAACCCCGCAGACTATATACAGTCCATGGGATTCTTCAGGCCAGAATACTGGAGTGGGTAGCCTTTCCCTTCTTCAGGGGATCTTCCTGACCCAGGAATTGAACTGGGGTCTCCTGCACTGTATGCGGATTCTTTACCAACTGAGCTATGAGGGAATCACTCGGCAGATGCCATTAAATTCACAGTCCTGACTTCACATCTCACGTTTCTGATCACCCTACTGGTCGTGACCACGTGCCAGCGCCCCTCCACCCTCGCATCCGGTGTGAGAGGGAGAGGCCAAGGCACACGCCTGGACCCCACCGTGCTCCCCTTCCCCTCACCCGCCCTCCTCCTGGGCTCCCCAAACTGCCGGGCTCCCCATCTGTCCACCCAGTCCTCTCAGCCCTCCCCGGACGCTTTCTCCCCAGCTGTCTGAGTCAGGCCAGTGCCGTCATCTCTTACCTACACAGTTGCAACAGGTTCCACCCTGCTCCTTCCTCCCTCCAAGCCATACGGACGCACACTCTGGTCTCATCCCCTGGCCTGAGCCTTCAGGGGCTTTTCAGTGGCTTCTCAAAGCCTAAAGAACAGTGGTTGTATAAGCTACCTCAGCCCCTCTGGGGACCCGAGGGCTCTCCTCTCCTGAAGCAGGCACTGTGTCTACACCAGGCTGCCCCTTCTTGCCCCCACCCACGGCATTCCGCAAGCTGCTTCCTTTGCAAACCCATCAAAGGCCAAATCTCAGATGAAATGGTACCTCCCCAACTCCTGCAGTCAGAGCTCACCCCACCTGCGTATTATAACTGGTGTCACATTCTGAGTCAGGTCTACAGAGGAGACCTACAGAGCAAGTCTTTCCTACTCAACTACAGCTGCCTCAGTGGGAGGAGCCAGAACCCGCCCAGACGTGCGGTGCAGCGGAGTCTGATCAAGTGCCCCGTGGAACTTAGTAGGCAGTCAATAAGGACTGGGTTTAATTCACCAACAACCAAGGTTTCTCTTCATCAAGGTCTCCAAAACCACTTCTGAGCACCCTCCCTGCAGTAAGCCCACTCTCATCTCCTTCCGTTCGTCCTTTGAGCTACTTCCTCCCAGTCACACTGGAATACCCCTTCCCACGGGGGCGGGAAGGGGTGCCGCTGACGCACATCCCCTCCTGGACCTGTACCTCGTGAAGGAGGCATGACCGCCCCCACCCCCTGGAGGAAGCAGACTGGAGACTCTGAGGACTTAGGTCAAGTTTCACAGTTGGTAAGAAAACCCTCAGAAGGGCCGCGCCCACCTGCCACAATGCCGCTGCCTGTCCAGTCTCTTCGACCTCCTCACCTCCATCACCGGTTTCCAAGCAGTTCTGCTGTGGAGCCTGATGTCAAAGCACATTACAGCCACCTCCTCTCCTCTGACCTGATCAATCCCTTTCACATCGGGCAAAAAACTCAAGCCATTCCCCCTCCCCCATCTGTCTCCTTTATACATAGGCTTTCTTTCATTCTTCCTTTCCTAAATCATTCTCAACTCAGTTGAAAGTCCACTTCTAGGAACTGTACCCCCAAAAATCACCACCATTGTGCTGTGTAAACCTGAAGCACAAACATTAAGAAAACTAAAGCATTCAACTCAGCGTTAACAGGGCCTGCAAGCTGCCCTCCAGGAGGAAAGACACCAACCACCATCCCTCCACCCCTGGGCAGGAGCACCAAGGTACGCAGAGAGGTGAGCTATGATGGGAGACCAGCTGCACTGACTCAGGTCCTCCAAAGGCAGGCGTGTATGTACTGTGCAACCAGCTCAATTTATCTTTATGAGGATTATCTAGTAAAATGTGCGAAACAACTGGCTGATAAGATTGTAAAATAAAATGCTGACATAAAATAATATGCACAGTCTGTTAAGACCGTCATAAAATAGTACCACAACCAAAAGGTAACACAAAACTATTATTATTTGTCTGGTTATCTACTGCTGTGGAACAGACCACCCCGTAACTCACTGGCTTAAAATACCACCACCATTTACTCTGCTTTCGAATCTGCAAACCACACAGGGTCCGGCATGGCTGGTGGAGGCTGAAGGCAGGGGCTGAAACTCCCTGAAGGCCGGCGGGCTCCCGAGGGTGGCGGCTGATGCCATCAGCCTGTTGTCACAGCCTCCTGGGACTGGAAGCTGCAACTCCACACGGGGCCTGGGCTTCCTCACGACGTGGCGGCCAGGCTCCGGGGGCAAGTCTCCAGAGTCCGATGGAAGGTGTCCTGTCACTCCCACCCTAACCTCACAGGTCACACAGAGTCAAGGGCACCACGTCTTGTAGGTCAGAAACATTCACCAAGGCACGGCCCCACTCCAGAGGAAGTCAATCAGACTCCACCTTATGATGGTAGGTGTTAGAATCACTGGGGGAGCTTTTTAAAAATGTCCATCAAAACCAGTTAAACCAAATTTCCAGGGGGTAGTCGAGTGCTCCCAAACAAGTTACTTTTTAAGTGCTCCCCAGGTGATTCAGATGTGTAGTTAGGAAGAGACCCACGAAACGAAGATGATCTCTAAGCCTCCTTCCAACTGCAAAATCACATAGAGTAACCCAGTTTATGACGGGATGAAGATGACAAAAAAGGCAAACTAAAGGTGCTGTCTTTATTAAAAGTGCCCACAAGTTTAGGTGTATTTTAGATGTATACATGGATACTCAGATGTATTTCCAAGATCCAAAGTCAGTTTGGCCAAATCCAACTTGCATCTCATACTACTGCTGATAAAAATGGCTGATTCAGTTCTTAATGTCCACCAAGATCAAATCAGAGCAACAACCCTGCTCAGATAGTGAGAAAGGACCGCTCCTGCAGAACCACCTGCTGCCCCTGCTGGCACGCACCAGCCCTTCCTCACCCACCCCTTCCTTGGGCTCACAGCCACGTTGTCACCATCATCCAGGAAGCTCAACAGCACAGGAGCCGTGGGGTACCCAGAACCGTCCGAGTGCCGGACACACACCTCCAGGGAATACGAGGTACAAACTGAGATCCTGAAATCTGAAATCTGGAGGTCACCAATGAGGGCACACACACACATGCGCGCGCACACACAACTTCCATTTCCAGTGATTTTCAAGATGTGGTCAGCAGTCTCTGATGGCTCAGGAATACCTGTCCCATGGAAATTTAAAATACTGATTTGAGGAGACATTTTCAAAATGGAATAGGGAATGTACATACATTCTAGGTCTTTTTCACCCAAAGTGACCCAAATTTTAAGAATTTAGCTACTACAAAAGGACTCTGATTTCATTACTCTTATTTTTATGTTTTAAAATTAAGGATTCCCATAGATCTATGAATTAATTGCTTGTTTAAATAAACGTGAATAAAAGCTAGCCATCACCGTAAAGTTTATCAGCTGTCCTACTCACTCTATACCGATGCACGGTTTCCAGCGGCAAGTGGGCGTGGGTAGTTACTTGGTTCACAGGAACCCCGGGTTCTACTGAAAATTTTCTTGGACTAAAGTTCAAGAAAATTACATCTCATGATTAATTGAAACAAACACTGATGACTGACTAGACTGCCACTTCTCAAGCTTCACCGTGCACCTGGGCTTCTTGGAACACAGATTCTAATTAGCTGGTCTGAAGGGGGCCTGTGGCAGCATTTCCAATGTCTTAGGTGGCACTCAGCTGCTGATCTCAGAGCATGCTCTGAGTAGCAAAGACACCCCCAGAGACCATACGGAGCACTCAGAAATCTTCCTACCAAACACGAGTGCTCAAGTAAGTACAAGCACACCATAGCTCACTATAGACAAGAGCCAAAAGGTACAGAACAGCCCATCAATGGATGAGTGGATAAGCAAATCATAGTAGATTCCACACAGGGTGGAATATTACTCAGCCATGAAAACCAAAGTATTGACACGTGTTACAAAGTTATGTTAAACAAAAGCACTCACAAAACAGCACATTTTATATCATTTCGTTAATATGAAATACCCAGAATAGGTAAATCCAGAGACAGAGCACAGATTCATGGCTGCCAGACGCCAGGGGGTGGGGGCAGGAGACAGAAAGGCAGCGGCTTAATGAGCACGGGGCTTCCTCTTAAGAGTGATGAAGAAGCCGTGCAACTTCACAGAGGTGGCGGTCACACAACCCTGCGGCTACGGGAAATGCCGAGGAACTCTTCCCTTTAAAATGGTTCATTTTCTGTAGTGTCAATTTCACCTCCATTTTTTAAACGTGAAAAAGTCATATTCTTACACGAATATTAAATATCAAAACACAAGATTCAATGATATACACAGAAATATTATTGCTGTAATGGAGCATTTCATCTAGCTCACTTCATCTTTCTGAATCACTATTTCTTCACTGATAAAATCTATCATTGATAGACACTCTGGTCCACTGCAGAACTACAAAGAACCAAAGGACAGCAACTGAAATTATTCTGAACTATAAGATACTATCTGAACAAATACACCTGCATTGTTTTCACTATTATGAGTGCATTTCCCCAATTACACATGGTCTCAGCCGTGGAAAAGAATACCTGAAGATCTGGTGACTACTGAAAACAGATATTGCTCATCAATTACCAAATCTCTGAAGAGATATTGAAAGGCTCATGGCACAGATCAACTTCCAGGAAATACCACTTCTTGCCCATTTCCTTAACCCCATGACCAGTTCTGTTCAGCAGTCTACCTACTTAGGTTCTGACATATGTTAGGAAATATTCTTCTCCTCTGTCTTAAAGAAACTAGCACAATTCTTCAAATGCACTTCTCTGTGACTCCTTTTTGACTGAAGTGCAAGAACCTATTTAAGATAAATGTTTGAAACAGAAAAGAGAGCGCCTCCCATACTCATCAGTGAGGGAACATGCTAGCAGCAGCTCTGACTTTCAGTATCTGTTACATAATCACAGGCTGTGTCCAGCAGTGACTGTTTCTTTAATGCTAAGTCCCTCCTTTTGAAATAAACAGGCCAGGTGTGGTTCCTCTGCTCAGATGAACCAAACACCAAGTACCTGAGCTCAAAGGAAAAGACTGCTGCAGGCTTCACAAGCTCATGCTAGTTATCCTTTCTGCTCAAAACGCCACTTCCTTCCCACTCTACCAACACTCTCCACGTCCTGCCGAGAGCTCACAACCAACTAGACAGAAACAACTCTTTTTTTTTTTGGCTAACGCCACTTCTCTCCTTGGGGAAGCAACCGTTTGTAGACGGCACACTCACCGCAAAGATCTTTAACAGAGTTTTCATGTAGAGCTTTCGGATACCAAAGGAGACTCCGAAAACAGCAGGGACGATGATGAAAACCAGGAGGAGGGTGAAGAGGACCGTCAGGGAGATGCCCAGGAGGTTGACAATCAGGCTGTCGAAAGGCAGCAGCAGGAACATGGTGGGGGATGCAGACCAGGCCAGCGCCCTCCTCCCCGCGAACAAAGCTGGCCTCAGATGGTCCTCTCCGTCAGCACCGGCCTGGGGAGGGGCGCCAACTCCATTCCCAAGTTCGCATCCCTCGACGGCCGGAATGGAGACTGGGCAGAGGATGAGAGAAGGGGGCCCTGAGGGCCTCCCTGGAGGAGACGGGCTGCAGGCAGACGGGGCAGGCTCAGTCTTCAGGCCAGGCGGGGTGGCCTGGCCAGTGAGCGGCCCGGACACGCTCTGGGCTCTGCTCCGCTGGCACTGCTTCCAGAAGTGTCCCTTTATCTCCTGCCCAAGAGCATTTAGCAGATAAATCTGTCCTGAAGGTCTGTCATTGCCAGAAGTACCAAGAAGAGTTCAACGTGCTGCCAGAAAAAGCCTGATAACTCCAGCGGGGGGTGGGGGGCGGTGTGACTTGCTGGCACTTCCCACAGAAGTCTTGTGAACGTGAATAAGTGGAAATTAAATAATTGTTTTCCTTAAAACTCCTTCATAAGCTGAAAATTGCGTTCACATCTGGCCCCATCCTTCCTCTGGGGGCTCCTGGCGCGCCGCTCCTGGGACCCTCCTCCCTGGAGAGCTACAGGCCTTGCCAGGGGCACAGAGGCACTGGCAGAGAACGGCTCATGCTGCCCGCGGGGAGTGTAATCCCAGGCGCGCCTGGCATTGGGCTCCTCTGGATGCTCTTCCCTCAGGCCCTCTTCTCAGCGGTGACCTGGGTTCTTGGCAAGAAGCTGCTTACATGCTGCCGAAGCTGGAGGAGGAGACAAAAACAGTGTCAGGCAGGCGACACAGACCGAGGTGGGGGACACCACTGCGCGCGGGGGTGGGGGCAAGGGCAGTCAGGCTCGGCCGGGAGCCAGGGCCAGCCCCTCTCAGCCCCAAGGTTGAGGGGACCAGGCGGGGCAAACAGGCGGCACATGTGGGCGTGGACGAAAACCGCAGGCATTTCATCCGGCTTTCAACCCTGCTGGTGTAAGTACTAGCTGGGGCCACTCACACTTCTCTAATAGGAAATACATGCGTGTCTGGGCTTAGCAGATGGAAATTACTACATGTAGACTGGACAGACAACAAGATGCTACCATGTAGCACAGGGAACTATATGCAGTGTCCTGATGAACTATAATGGGAAAGAATATGAAAAAGAATGTACGTGTTTAAACTGAGTCACTTTGCTGCACAGAACAAACTAACCCAACAACATAAATCAATTATACTTCAATTAAAAAAAAATCATTAGAGACCTCAAATTTAAAAAATGAATTAAGGAAAAGAAAAGACATGGACACGAGACACCTCTCAAGAGATAAAGAGGGCACACTCCGAGGAGAAGACGGGCCTCCTCGCTGTCCCCGGCTGCCTGAAGCTCTGGGCCACAGCAGCAGCCCCAACATGAGGATGCTGTGGATGGTTCCTGAGATGTTCCCGCACATCCTGGCCACGAGACACCTGAGGATCGTGCCTGCCCCCGCGGCCCAGGCAGCAGCAAGGGTGCGCTGGAACACTGCTTGCTGTCTCCTAGCTTGACACGTCCTGGGACAGTGCTGCCTCTGCACCAACGGAGCTCCCTTCCTGCAGACGGGCGCAGCTCTCAGCTGTAAGAACGCTCCGGGAATCGACGAACGGCTCTCTCCTGAGGGTGGACACCAATGTTTCCACCCTTCTGCTGTTACAGACAATGCAATGAACCTGTCTACGTGACTTAGCATCCAAAATGCACGTGCAAATATATTTTCAGGATAAACTCCTAGAGATGGAATTACAGGAGAAAAGGAAATTGAGGTTTAAGGAAAAAAAATAACTCTTGCTTTTATTTCCCCTGATATACTGATAATACCGACACATTAACACTGACACACTAACACTGAGCAACTCTGCAGAGCCAAAACAGGATTTGATACAATCCAGAGTGTCAGTCAGTCACCTTTTCTGTGTATGTGGTAAGAACATGTAAGATCTACCCTCTCAGCAACTTTCAACTGTAATCACTATCCCAGAACTTTCTCATTTCATAACTCCAAGTATTTAGCCTTTGCCCAACATTTCCCCATTTCTCCTACCCCCGGCCCCTGATAACCACCATACTTTTGTTTCTGCAAGTTCATATTTTCTGGATGCCACATTTATGTGAGAATATACAGTATCTGTCTTTCACTTCTGACTTGGGAAATACAGGGGTTTTTTTGGCCGCACTGTGTGGCTTGTGGGATCTGAGTTCCCCAACAGGGGATCGAACCTGTGGCCCCTGTGATGGAAGTGCTGCGTTCTAACCCCTGGACCACCAGGGAATTTCCAGAAGTACAGTTTCAGTTTTACAAGCTACTGTCACATTTTCTTTGTAGATTAACTCCTCCAGCCTTTCTGGCCACTTTTTTTTTTTTTTAAGATTTATTATTCTGTTTTTGGTTTTGGCCAAGATGGTCTTGGTTGATGCACTCAGGCCCCCTCTGGCTGCGGCGAGCAGGAGCTGCTCTCCAGCCGCGGCGCCAGCGCCCCTCCCGGTGGCGGCTCCAGGCGCATGGGCTTCACTAGCGCCTGGCTCAAGGGCTCTGCGCCCAGGCTCAGGAGCTGTGGCGCGCAGGCTCAGCTGCTCTGGGGCAGGTGCAACCTTCCCGTTCCGGGGATCAAACCCGTGTCCCCTGTATCGGCAGGTGGATTCTTAACCACCAGGCTCCGCCCTCTCTTTTATTATAAAGGCTGTTTACATTAGAGTTCACTCTTGGGGTTGTACATGTTAAGGTTTTTGACAAATGTACAGTGTACAGTGATTTGTACCCATCACTACAGTATCGTACAGAGTATCTTCACTGCTTTAAAAATCCTCTGGGCTCTGATTTTTCATCCCTCCCTGCCCTCAACCCCTGGCAATAACTGATCTTTTCACCGTCTCCAATTAGATTTTTTTCCCAGAATGTCATCTAATTGGAATCTTACAGGATGTAGCCTTCTTGGCTTCTTTCACTCAATACAGTCCCTTGTTCCAAACGTGGGAGCCATCCTCTCACTTTTCTCTGGCAAACATTTCTGTCCTCACACCAATCTCCTTCTGGCTCAGTTCCAGTACATTTAAAAGTTCAAGAAATGGACCAAGTAAACAGGTGACTGACTTCACTGTGAGTCCTGTCCCCTGCTGTAGAGAGCTCAAAGCCCTTTCTCATGTTATCTCACAACCTGTCGATATGTATTCTCTCCATTTTACCATTTCCCCATTTCTCTCCATTTTACCAGTTAGGGAACTCAGCAGGGAGACCCGGACCCCATTCCTTGACCCCTAACTGCTCCCACCACGTCCCACACACCTGGCAGGGAAACCAAGACAAGGCTGCTTCAGCGGCAATGTCCTCCACTTCCACTTCCTCATGATCATCGCTAACGCTTATGCAAACGCCACCTGGACGGACGCTGAGCGCATACAATGAGCTCCCTCCATGGGCCACCCTCACTGAACCCCCAGTGCAGCGCTGTGGTGGAGTCAATCACCCCGCTGGACAGGTGAGGGAGCAGAGGCGGAGAGGGTGAAGCTGCAACCAGCAGAGGCGGCACGTGGACAAGTGCGTCCATTCCCAGCCCACTCTGGGACCCCCAGGCCCTCTCATCTCTCACACACCTTGAGCTATGTTAACACTTCCTCCATGCCAGGCCAGCTACGTAGAACTTCTTGTGACCAGGGAGAAACCACAAGACAAATATGGGTTCCTATAGCAGAATTTGGTGTTCTCAGAATCCAAGGTACAAACCTGCTTGCCCATTTCTATAAACTGGTCATGCTGTTGGTACATGCCAAATTTCTAACCGTGTCCCAATGGACATTCAGGAAGTTAGATCTATTTCTGAGACTATAATCAAGTCAATCTGCTGAGTCACTGTATTCCTTAAACCTGTCAAATGCCAGCCTAATCCCAGGGCCACACCTCCATCCCACTTGCCCATCCCTGTGCTAGTGGATACCTGCTGTCACATTAGCCACGATCACCTTGACGTCCATGGGCCCAAGGTGACAGACACCAGGGTGACTTTGATTTCCCAAGCCAGAGCTTAGATCTCTTTACTCTGGACCACAACCAACTGAGAATTCCCAAGGTTATTCTGGGTTCATGTCCTCAAAACATGAAAGTAAACACATTTAGCAATAAACTAATTACTTCACCTTGTTCAGAAGTGGGCACACCAGGTCCCCAGGCCAAATCTGAGCCAGTTTTGATAAGGTTCATGACCCAGGAACGGTGTTTACATCTTTATAAACAGTCCTAAGGTACAGAATAATGTGACAGGACCACAGCCTGCAAAGCCTCAGCTATCTACTAGGCGACCCTTCACAGCAGCAGCCTGCAGACCCCTGACCCCACTGCTCCTTCCTCCCCTCAGAGACAACAACCTGCCCCACTGTCCCTAGCCCCTACCCAGACTCCACCCTGGAGTACCAGACTCCAGGACACACAACAGCAACTAGCCAACTCTGAACAATCCTCCTGTGGATTCTTAGAAGTAGGGAGGAGGTAAGAAAGCTGTGGGTATCAGACGGGCCCCCAAACATGTTGCTGGATTGTGGAGCAGCCATCACAGCCAGAGGTGAGGGTGCCTTAAGGCTCCTTAACACGGACTTCAGTCTCTGGAAATACGGCAAACTGCTCACATCAGAACTCTGTCACACCAGTTTCTAGATAAATGCTCTTATAGGAAAGGCAACCATTTTGCTTCATGTAAACAAAACTGCAACTCCTTGACAGGAAGCAGGGGAAATCATCAGCTCAAAGCAATAGTCACTCCTTCTCTTTACCTCCCCCACTTTCAGCCAAATCCAGAGTCACTTGGACCAACGTTCCCCCAGGAGTCTAGCCAGTCCAAGGAAACCCTAAGAGCCAACGAGTTCTGAGCCTTTCAGGAGGGAAGGTGGTCTCATCCTAGGAAGCTGACAGTCCACCTCTAAGCTAACGAGACTCTTCAACCCCGGGGTGCAAACTGGAACCCCCAAATGGGTCACTTCTCAGGGCTTCTCAGTTCTCAGGGTGACTAGCTCAGGGCACACACTCCATGTTAGGTATGAAAGCATGCTGTAGTAAACAAACACACCTACGGGCACGCTTTCAGCAAAAAGGCACACACAGTCATCACTTCACACTTCGATGACTGTCAACAAGAACAGAGTCCTGGGTGGAAACAAGGCACCTCTCATACACTGTTGATGAGAATTTAAACTCTTGTGTCCACTGTGGAAAACAGTATAGTGCTTCCTCAAAAAAATAAAAACAGAATTACCATACGATCCAGCAATCTCACTCTTCGGCATATATCCAAAGAAAACAAAAAACATTAATTCAAAAAGATATATGCACTGCAATGTTCCTGGCCGCATTATTTGCAATAGCCAAGATACAGAAGGAACCTAAGTGTCCATCAACAGAAGAATGCATAATGACACACAATGGAATACCATTCAGCCATAAAAAGATGAAATGTTGCCATTTGCAGCAATGTGGATGGACTTGGAGGGCATTATGCCAAGTGAAATAAGTCAGACAGAGACTAGAGAGTGTAACAAAAAAGAAGCCAAGTCACAGATACAGAAAACAAGCCAGTGGTTACCAGTGGGGAGAGGGAAGGGGTAACAAAAGGGTAGGTGATTAAGAGGTATAAACTATTAGGTATAAAATAAGCTACAAGGACATACTATTCAACATTGATGATACAGTCAATATTCTATAATACTAATAACTATAAATGGAGTATAACCTTTAAAAATTATGAATCACT